ATCAGTGTCTCCTGGGCCAGCTGCTCCCAGCCCCACGGCCCTGTCTGCAATCACTCCGCACCACAGCTCATTGCAGGCTGAGCCAGGACGGGCAGGGCTGCAACATCCCCCGTTACTCGGCTGACACGCGAGGTGGATGCAGCTGTGGACATGGGCGCTCACGTGTGGGCCTCAGCCCAGCTCATCACTGTCTGTCGGCTCCGTCCCTTGAGGCAGCCGGGCCGGCACTTTTAGGGGCAGGGAACCCGTTTCCACGCACTCTCGCCAGCCTGTCCCGTGCCAGCGCCCCTGGTATCTGCACTTGGGAGGGAGCTCCTGCTAATGCCAGCTTGGGCCGTTTTCAGCGTCTGACACCACAGGCCTGATGCTCTTCAGGTCTCTCTGCTCCCAGCATCTTTTTTTTGTGTTTTTCTTGTTGTTTGTTTTTTTACGGCGCGCCCCGAGCTGCGCCCCAGCTGTGCTCCCCACAACCGCACCCGGTGCCCTGCTCACCTCCAGGCCCGGCCCCTGCCCCCCCGGGCAAGTCCTCTGCAGCTCCAGCTTCACAGGCTCTGCTCCAGGAGGTTTCTGCTCAGCGCTGCTCGGGGTCCCAGCACCTGCGGGCGGGGAAGAGCGCACAGGGCAGCGCTGGGGCTGCGGGCACGGGGAAAGCCCTGCTCGTCTCCTGCACCGGCCTGGCACTAAGGCAGACGGAGGCTGTGGTGTGTGGAAGACGGGGGAGAAGGGAGACTCCACGTCCCACAGCTCTTGCTCAGGGCACGAGGGGGAAGATGAGCCCCAGTAACTGTGTCCCAGCCCGGGGCGGTCATCACAGCCCCATGCCGGGCCGGCAGGGACACGGCTCCGGGAACGAGCTGGAGCGATGCTGGAGCTGTGTCACATCCACGCCCACAGGCTCAGGGCAGGGCAGGCGGGGGAAACGCAAGGGCAGTGCTGTCCAGGGCAGGGAACGCTCTCGGGCCGCCGGGAGAAGAGGCGCTGCTGCGCTGCGGGAGCAGGGCCGGACCCGCACGTCGCGCCGGACGGTGCCTCCCGCTGCCGGACACGGCCCAGCCGCCGCTCGCCCGCTC